TTAGTAGACCAGCCAAAAGAACCTAGAAGAGTAGAGAAAAAATTTCTCTCCCTTACATAAACTTTCAAAAAAACTAATGCTGAGAATCAACTCAGTCTGTGCCCCATTTTGTTTCCACCCTGGAACATACACTCTTAATTATATGATAATTATCTGATGCAGAGATCGGCAAACATTTTCTGTACCCTCTCCTTGAATATTTTTTGAAGTTCCCTAAGTGATCCCAACGTGTAACCAGGATTGGAAACCACCACGTTAGAGGCACAGTCAAGGACAGACTAAGAGTGGGGCTCGTTTGACATCCTCTGTTCCCACCTGTCCACAGCCCAGCCCCATGGCCCACTCTCCTGGTCGTCCAGACCTGGTTGCTTCTCCTCTGAATGCCTTCCTATAAGCCAAGTCCTGTGTTTCACACTTTTATGTATATTATCAAATTTAATTCTCTCCACAGCTCTATAGGAGTAGATGTGCCTGCCTCTTCAGGGATGAAGGAAAAAACTCGAGAGAGACCAAGCAAATCACCTACAAATGCGTAGTTAATAGGTGGTAGTGACAGAAAACCTGAACTCTGTATTCTGACTCTAAAACCCATGTTCTTTCATCTCTGCCTCAATCTCCCAACCACGAGGCGGCACCAGGGTGAGTCAACACGTCTCATTATATAACGTCCTTCATCAGAGAACACATCTCATGTCTCAAGGCCTGTAGAAAGAGCAGGGCATTTGAAGTGGAAAGGAAAGCTACCGCTTCATGCAAAACGTCCTCCGTAATTAATTCCCCAGTGCCTTTAAGATGGGCTGAAGCAGATTTCCCACAAGAAGCCAGCAACTGTTGAAGGTGAAAGGGAAGACATGAGTTTCAGAACATTTCCATGTTTCAGAAATTCACCCTCACTTTTAAAACTAGGCTATTAGGCAGGGGCAGGGGGAGCTTCATTAAAAACAAAACAAAACAACAAAAAAAAACCCTTCCTAGCCCAGAGGGATGAGAGGAAAACCTCTATTAAGCAGAAGAGAAATATATTCAGGGGCAGCCTCCCTATGGATTCCCTGAAGTCTCATCTGAAATTTTCAGCTTCTGTCTTTACAGTCAGGCCGTCAAGAAAGCGAACAAGAGGAGAGAGCGAGAGAGAACATCAAAGTACATTAAAGCCTCTCATCTAGAAAAATTCATTAAGATCTTTAAGCATAGAAAATTGGCAGAGAAAGAATCATTTTTAAAAGTCCTCCTTGAAAATTTTCCAGAACCCCTAAAATCTTCACAAAGACGCTTTAGAGCCATTAAAGCTCGGGCGGAGAAGGTGGTAGAAGTTATTTAAAAGCGTGCAGCCTTCGATCTGTAAGACTGAGGGAACAGGATGGTTCTTGGGGGAAACAGAGAAGCTCCAAGAAAACTCTTAAGAAGAAAAAAGGAGGCCCGGCTGCAAAATAAACAAAGAAATACAGACAACACAAATAGAATAATTTTAATGGGGGGAAAAATGAGTCAATTTATGTAAAAATCTTCTGAGACATTTGAGGATACGAGTTTGACCGACCTGACCTTTGTAGGCCAGGCTGCCGGCAGGGTAAGAGGTCTCAGGGCTGGTGTGACCACGGAAAAAAATTCACAAAAGTAGTCACGTAAATTGAAAGGAAAGAAATAAGAACAAAGGAGAAAAAGAAAGGAAATGGAAGAAGGAAGTCCTTTGTGCAAGATCTCCTAAATTATTAATTCACCAGTGCCTTCAATAATTAAGATAAACTACGACTGAGGGGAAAATAAAAGATATTAGAGAAAGGAAAAAAGAGTATTGAAGAAAAAACTTGGAAGATGGTAGGTTTTCTAAGTGTACTAGAGTGTTTGAAGCTAAACGCTTAGTGGAGAGGGCTTTTTCAGTGTAAATATTGTGAGAATAAATTAATTTGGTAATAAGAAACAAACCCATTCTAGGCTTTATACTAAGGAGCTAGAGAGAGAGAAGATTGTTTCTCTTTTTAGCTAACTTATCATTTGGGTAATTTTCAACCAGATTCTCATATGAGAATCACATCCAGGGACGGAAACCACATCTATACTTGCATGTACGCGGGGCCTCGCCTTCCAGCTGTTCTGATTTCGCTGGTCAGCAGCAGGGCCGTAGGGTTGCCTTGAACAGTCAGCTGTCAGGAGGGGCTGGGAGCGGGGCCAGAAAGAATGACTTACAAACTGGAACCTCTGTGTCCATCTGTCCCACCATCTCTGACCACAGTGACCTTCAGAGCAACGGCTGCCCCTTGGCTTCTGTTCTCCAAACCTCTCGCCTGCTTCTCTGGGCCAGCTCCATCCCAGCACCGCACGCCCCCCGCCGCCTTTCAGGAAGTTTCCATGTCTGCATTTCCACCAGCGGGCACTATAGATGACAGAGGAGGGCACCGGTTTGACTCAAGGGGCTGTTAAAGCCACCGAATCCCGCGCAGCCGCAGACTTCGACGGCCGTCGTGCCAGGGGCTGCGGTGCCCGCCACCGAGGTCGCCTGCGCACGTGCGGGTGGGGGAATCTCTGTGGGGTTCTTTTTCCTGTGGCCCCAGGGACATACCAAGTTGTCGCAGGCATTTGAACATCGCCTGGACTGTCGTGGAACTGCACCTGACCTTGCTGGACAGACCCGAGCGGCTGGCGAGCTTGTTCGCACGAGCCAGGTTGCGCTTGGCACGGTGAGGAGAAGGCCCTGCCCCGTGGGGGCTGATCAGCAAGCCTCCCTAAAGAATATCACTCTGCCTGCAGCTAAGTTCTTGCCCCAGCTGGAAGCAACTTGAGAACAGGCACCTGAAGACACAGAACTTCTAACCCATTATCAACTAAGGATGGTTGTGGTTTTCAGCAGAAAAGGCCGCCATCCTCTGTTTGAGAAGCAAAGCATGGGTTTCCTCCGTGGTAACCAACACTTTGACTATATAATCTACCCTGTAAAGAGATTTATTAGAGAAACAAATGTTGTCATTTCACCTCCATTCTCTTCTTATAAGATACTTTGTGATTAAAATTAAACATCTACAGGAGTATGTAACGTGTAAAGTATAGAGTAAAATAGAAGGGTCACTCTCTTAAGAGAAACACAGTTGGTTTATTCAGCAAGCTGCAGGAAATCTGCACAAAGATGGAAATGTATACGAGCAAACTGAGCCATTGGTCTCTCCATGTTCTCCCCGTCTGCCAGCCATTTTCCTACATATTTCTCTTTCCGGCTTCGGTTGAATGGTTTGTCGTTTCAACAACACCTTTGCCAATTCTCTAAATTCCTATGCCCTTTAGCTTTGTGCCCTGTCTGGCAAAACACTTACCTGGATAAATCTGTCTGCTCTGATCTCGGCTGCAAAGCGCAGCTGCGCGCTGGTGACACAAGTCACATGACACAGAAGGTCGGCCCCCCCGCAAGCTCAAGACCATCAGACACGCTGGATTTTATCTGGGCAGCTCATGGTATCGTCTCCATGAGGCTATTTCCTTTTACTGTATGTCTCCTCAAACACCCCAAAACCTTTGCCCTAAGTAATTAGCTCATATCCTACGATGCAAAGGAGATACTGGAAGCAGTTGGGGACACTCCCTTACCTCCCCACTTCCAAATATACAGACTTCCCTCCGCAGTGTGCTGCACTCTTGTCACACAGACACAGGGTTTCATGACAGTCAGCTTACGAATCTTGTGAAGTGGGTCTTAACATTTCTTTCTCTAACTTTTTTAATCACAAAAAGAATCTCTTTTATAATGTTTACACTTTTCAGAGGTCTCCTTTCAGCTCTTTATATTCCCTTGGGCCTGATTTCCTGGCTGAAAATGTTTGCTGGGGAAGGGGCGAAGACCTAGGCCCTACGTGGTGTCATCCTAGATGAGTTAGGAGCGGTGCTGTGTCAGGGATAATCTGGGCTCGACCACTCTGTCTCACCTCCGCCCCCCAGCCCAGGCCTACTGCTCAGGGAACAGGAGCTGCCTCTCTTTATTGTAACTGCCTAGGCCATGGTTTTTTTTTGGGGGGGGGCTGATGTAGGAAGATGCCATAAAGAGGGGAGAACATAGGCCTGCACTGACCTTTATCTGCTCCAGCCTGTAACCAAGTTCTTGCACCACCCAATGTTACCCAACACGCCAGGCTGGCATTTGGTTGGGGCTGCTACACAACGCATTGTCACAGCCAACAGGCTCAGCTAGGAGATGCAGGGGAGAAAGGAGGAACTAATGAAGCCCTCCAGCCCATGCCTGTCCCTGGCATCTGGCCTTTGTCTACTCTGACCTATACAGTCCCCACCCTTCCACACCACCCTCTCCTCCAGGCACACACCCCATGGCCCTTGTGCTTGTCACAGTTTGGGCTTAGCAATCAATGGGACACATCTCCCTCCCTCCAGCTTCAGCACCAGGCCTGTGGTTGGTTGTGGGGAGGAAGTCATAGCTAGACAGGAACTGGAGATACTGCTTTCTAATGTGCTTTATTTTCAATTCAGAATAACTTGAGAACATTTTTCTATATCATTAAATATCTCTGTGACAGTTTGGATGCAGGAAGTTTTGGAGGTGTTTTTTTGTGTTTTTTTTGGTATGTGTTTTTAAAAAATGTCTTTATTGATTTTTAGAGAGAAAGGAAGGGAGAGGGAAAGATAGAAAACATCCATGAGAGAGAAACATCGATTGGATGCCTCCCACAGGCCCCCTACTGAGGATCAAGTCCGAGAGCCAAGCATGTGCCCTGACCCAGAATCGAGCCAGGGACCTCTTGGTGCATGAAAGGATGCCCAACCAACTGAGCCACACCAGCTGGGCTGGATGCAGGGAGTGTTTTATAAGGAGGTGATTCTAGGAAACACAAATAAAAACATGATAAGAGTGAGACAGGTAGAAGTGCATTAAGGAGCCCGCCACCCTGGGAGCAACAGGGCTCAGGGCTGCTAAGGGCCTGCTGAGTATTAGCCCTGGTGGGAGGAGAGTGGAGCATTTGTACAGTCACTTCCTTCCCCCTTGGTTTGGCTCTCAGGGGTCTTACCTCCTCCACACTGCAGGCTGCACCTGCTGGCCAGGATAAGCTTCTTCAGTGCCATAAAGAGCTCTCAGGTAAGGAATTGAAGTGCTGGAGGCAGGAACCTCCACAGGTGCAAGTGAACTTACCGGGTTGAGGGGATGTGGCTTGGGAACGAGCCCTGACTGCTACATCCAGTGAGAGTGGAGTTGTGGGAAAAAAGCATAGGGAAAGGGTAATCATCAGACCCTTCATGTTTCAAGAATTAAATTGGCTCTGGCCAGTTAGCTCAGATGGTTAGAGTGTCATCCTGATAGGCCAAGGTTGTGGGTTTGATCTCCGGTCAGGACACATACAAGAAACAACCAACAAATGCATAAATAAATGGAACAACAGAGCAATGGTTTTTTTTCTCTCTCTCTCTCTAAAATCATTCAATAAATTTTAAAAAACAAAACACACACAAAAAGAATTAAAAACCCTACTTGTCCTATGGACTATTTTCTGTGGTGAAGACAGACATGGTTTTGACATCCTGAGGAGACCAAAACCAGAACCCAGTCCCACCCCAGCACTTCTGGTCCAACAGAAACCCTGGCATGTGTCTGTGCACAAAAAAAAAAAAGGAAAGAGTTGAGCACAAAAAGCTCCTCTCCAAGGAGACCTAGGGTGGGACAAACTTGACTGGTACAGCACTGAGGAGACTTAGCAGTCCCTTTCAAAAGACAGTGTGCTCTGAAGAGGGATCCATGTCAGGATTAAATGAATTACATGGACCTAAAAACCTTCTTATTTTGAAATAATTCTAGACTTCCAGAAAAGTTGCAAAAATAATATAGAAAAATCCCATATGTCCTTCCCCCAGCTTCTCCTAATGTTACCAACAAACTACATAATTGTAATGATGAAAACAAGGAAGTTAACGTTGAAACAGTAATGTGGGCTAAACTACAGATCTCATCCAAATCTTGACAGCGTCCTCACTAGTGCCCTAGCTGAGGCGTCCACTCAGGAACCCACACTGCACTTAGTGGCATTTTCTGTCTTCCTTTGTCTTTTGTGATCTTGATACTTCTGAAAAGTACTGACGGGTCAGTTATCTTTCTTAGAATGCCCCTCAGTTTGGGCTTGTCTAGTGTTTTATCATGCGTGATTAGGTAGCAGTGATGCATTTTTTGCAAACCTCCCCCCCCCCCC